ATAATAATAATAATAATGTCTTTATTAATATATTATAGTAGCAAGAATTCTGCCGCTGTCGGTTTTTTTTTTTTTTAAGTTTTGATTGGTAAGTGATTCCAGACTATCAACTGCTAAGGTAATTGGAGCTGTAAGTATAATGCACGTTTTATCTCGGGAGGTTTCAGTTATCTTCCCCAGCTGGATGGTGTGATCCGGAGATGGCCTACACGTCGGCTTGCAGGTTTTTTTTCCAATCAGGTATCTCCTACCAGCGGGGCTCCAGCCTGGGCAAGCTCAAAGTCCCCCTCTCAATAGGTCTCGAGTGGTTGTGTAGTGCATGTAAGTGGGTAAGAAAAGGGTGGCCAGGAAGAGGAAGGAAAGATCGCGCGCGGACCGTGGTCAGTTTGTTACGGTACTGCTCCGGCATTCGTCTGGTTTTGATCGGAGAAATCACGGAAAAATAACGAACGAAATCACGGAAAATGTCTGGAGGAGAATTGTAGTGGCCGGCTTCTCCGGATGTTGTAGTTTTGGGTAGATTCTCGTATCAATACTTGGCGAATGACGAAACAGAACAGGAACGGGCTCGCGATCTCCTCCAATCAGCAGCTGCATTTGATTTTGTTAATTAACCAGTGACGAAAATCCTGCTACCCTCAGGACTCGGAGACCTTCTCATCAGACGCATTGCAAAGATATTATTTGATATCCTGAACCGCTTCAGTTGGTTCCACCAAATGGTGAATCGAATGTGCGAGGTAAGCGTCGTATTGGCATTAGACGCTTTTGAGGGTTTTTAACTAGAGATCGATAGCTTATTCGATCACTAGGACCGAGACTTATTCGATCTCTCGACTCTGTCGCCGGATCATTGTACAAAACGTATAAAAGAATTGCTGATTTGAAATGCAAAAATACATCGAAACTGTTTTTCCTTCATTAACTATGAATTTGTTATTACAAAACCAATTTGAAACTTCTAAAATAGTACTATTTATTGTTTCTTTTTTGCAAATAACATTCGTGTCATCGACAAACAGACCCATTCTTCCGTTTTTAATCGGCGACGGCATATAGTTTACGTATAACAGAAAGATGATAGGACCTAAGATCGAGCCTTGCGGAACCCTTTCGGAATGTCCTTTCGTGCCAGTACGATATTTTTACTCTTTGAGATCAATGTTTAAGGTACGAGGTCGAGGTCTAAGGCGATACCACGAATTCCATAAGAAGGTAATTTTCATAGCTTGAGAGCAAGATGTTATGGTCAATAACATCAAAAGCTTTCGAAATATCTAAACGTATTTCAATTGGTGCAAAATCTTCAAGAAAAGAAAAAAATGGCAGTTTCCGTAGATTTTTTATTTTCTAAACCCCTAATTGTTGCAAAAGGAACTGTTTTCGGGGTTTCCTACCTACAAATGTGAAATGCTGTGATTTACAATTCTATTGCCTCCGTCATAATGTGAATCATTGTTGTTTTATCACTTTGGTCAATAATTAAACCTTTTTTTACCAAACATTAAAAACGTACCAGTATAATCCGAATAGTAATTGTATGCGGAACATTAATCAGTAACATTCGTCACGATTTATTTATTTCAAAGCATAGAATCTTCTTCTTTATTAGAAATTTAATATCACGTTATATTGTCGTTCTCATATAGCCATCAATTTGCATGTGTTAATAATTTTAGTTGTATTCTTCATAATAATATTTGAATTGATTTTGTGAATGGTATTCGCTTTGTTTCATGAGCAGGTACACAGTCGAATATAGAGAAGAAAGAATTCAATGATCACAAGGCAGGAGGTACCCTACTAGCTAGTATAATGTATAGCGACATATTATTTCTTTTTTCATATAAATTATTTTCTGTGTCTTGAATAAGGATTACTGAAATGCAACGCGCATATTTCGTTCAGTGTAGCACCTTTTTTTTAGAATAATCACCACAGAAATGGCACTATTAAAGACTTCTAGCTGACCCCATTCAAACACGCCGCACGCTTAGAACGATTACATGCCCCATACCCAGCACGCTTAGATCTGATCTGCTAGCCACGAAGAGAAAAAATATCGCCGTGAACGAGCAAAAAAACATTTGACTGATTAATCACCGGAGAAAGCTGCCGAGTCCAGAGAACTGTCTGCGCGGATGTTCCAGTTTTCAGCTCGCCGATGACGTGTTTGCAGGGGGCTGGGGAGATAATTCACTCATTCCTATGAAGGCCACTAACTTATGTAGAGGGCACTCACAAAATGTTTCTTTCAGGGGGATAGGCAAATTCCATAATTGTAACGTTAGCAAAAAATGGGGAAGGGGATTGGCGAAAAATAAGTATTCTTGTAACATTTTGCGATAATTATTGTATAATTAACTTTAAACTCGAAATAAATATTAAATTAATGAAACATATATCTTGTTATTAAATTTGAAACAAAAAATTGAATCGCATATGAACGTTTGTCCCAACTTTTAATGAAATCTTACAGTTCGACAATATAGTTTCAATTCGTTTTAGTGAAGTATTTTTCTTACAATAAAATAAGTTGTGTTTTGTTTCGATTCTGTTTATTGTTTAAAACAGGATGCTTTTTTCACATTGTTAAATAGAATATATCAATTAAATAGATTTTTTAATTGATGTTTCCAAAAACTATGATTTTGTTGTAATTTTTGAAGACACACTATTTTTCTGTACCACCGGCCCTGACGTAGTAATCCATTCCAGACCGTTGGCACCTAGTAAATTTGTAGATTTAATTAATCGTCGTTTAATTTCCGACGACTTCCTACTTCAAATCTCTTTTGTTTAACTTAGGAAGTTTGTATACCAGAGAAGGGTGTAAAACGATGTCAGGAGAAGTGTTATAAACTGTTAAAATTTGTTACAAAGGGCGAGGAAACGGATTTAAAGTTATTTTGCGAATATTATTTGAATATACCTTCACGTAAGAAATAATATACACTGGCTACCAAGGTGTCTATGACATTGAGATTGTAAAAAATTTGGTCGTGAATGAATTCTAGCATTTGTGTTTATAATTCAGAATAATTCTAAACTGAATCGCTAGTAACATTGTTAAAAAGATTAAAAGTGAAATTCCAAAAATTAAATAATTTTAAGCTAAATATTAAGTTTCCATCATCACCATGCACTTTTACAGCCGTAAACACATATAATAACGATTTTGTCTCACTTAATTGTTAACGAGCATTAAATGTTATACGGACATGAATGAATGCTGAAATGAATGCGGACGTGAATTAAATAATTGGGCACTATACTAAATTGGTTTAGACCTCACTCGCCGTCATAAAAAAATTGGAAATCAATAGAGATATTTCGCTAAAGAGAAAATATATATGCAGAGACGTACGTATAGATCAGTAAAGAAGGTAGCATGTTTTTTCCTTGATACTCGGGATCTCATTCCATCCAGAGAATGAACAAATACCTACAATTTGTCACTTATGAACGGGTTAGAAGTACCTCTCTTACGTATGTTACGGTTGGGATGTCGATTATGAAAAAGTGAGCAAATAGTATAATGCCATGAGAGCACACTAGAATTACATTCTTAGCAAAAACAAGATTGCCGTTCAGTGAAATAACATGCAGTTAGATTGCTCTCAGAGACTTTTTCTACGGCAGTGAGTTAATCTTTCATTGACGCATTTGCCAGGGTGCTTGTATAACTTTGTAGCTTGTGTGGTTTAATAATACTTCTAAGCAAAATAGCGTTTTTTGAATACAGCAAGAAAGATGATAAAATAATATGATGATACGAGAATAAAAATAATATATACAGCAAGAAGGAAAACTCAAGTTCTTTGATGTCCCGTTAAGTTCTTACCCTGAGTCTGAACTACTAATCCTATAC